TGTGTGTGTGTGTGTGTGTGTGTGTGTGTGTGTGTGTGTGTCCCATCACCAATAACTGTTACCTTCCACTTTACTCTTCCTCATCCCAGTTTTCCTTCTCTTCCCTTTTGTCTCAGGAGCCCCAAGAGAGGCATCCTTCCTTCCCCACAAGCATTGCAAACCCTTAAAATCCCTTGTAAGAGAAGTGGCTCCGTGGTTCAGGGTGTAGGTGGCTGAGACTAAGATGAGCAAGGGCAGCCCAACTTGGATAGACTGTTGGTCAGCATCCCACTCAGCAAACGATTCTATCCAGTATAAACTGAACGGTTAGAAGAGCAGCTCCCCTGACACACTCACTGGCTCCTCCCCAAGAGCAAGCTGGGGAGGCAGGGCTCCGCCCTGGCAGCCGTGGGAAGGCTATGGCCCCCGCTGGTAAAACTGGGCTAATGACAGCGGGGGAACCGGCGGGGCCAGAGGGGGGTGCTAGGGTAATTAGACCTCTGCCTGGCGGTAGTAGATCCCGAGATGAAAGGGGCTATGGCGTCACTGACAGGGTTTTATGTCCATGAATGCAAAGGGGTGTGCGTGTGTGCGCGCGCGCGCGTGTGTGTATGTGTGTGTGTGTGTGTGTGTGTGTGTGTGTGTGTGTGTGTGTGTGTGTGTGTGTTTGGTGCACGTGCGTGCGCGTGCGCGCGCAGGGGTCCGGAACTAGCATGGAGACCTCTCCTTTGAGAAAATGAGTCCATCTATTTGCAGCCACTCTGCTCCTTAGGTTGGCCCTGGAACCATTTGGATTTTGATGGTGCAAACATGAGAGGAGATCGTACCTCAGTGAAACTGGGAGCCGAGGGACAGTAGAGAGTCTTGCCCACCCCCCTCCCCAAGCTTAGCACGGGCTGTATATTGTTGGGGAATGGCTGGTGGGCACTGAATAGAAAGAGCCTCTATGGAGAAAAGAAACGTTTGCAGGAGGAGGCAGTGGATCCAGCCTTAATGTTAGAAATGAGAAAGGAGGCATGAAAATGAAAAATGAGACTCCAAAACGGTTAGAAAATAAAATGGTTGAAGTTAGGAGGATTTCAGAAGTTACCTGCCCAACACTTGGATTTTAAGCTCTAACTAACCCTGGCAGCTGTAATTTGTTCAAGGTCACACAGAGAGTTGCTTGGAGAGAAGGGACCCGAACTATGAAACAAACCTATCGTTTGGTATCTGGGCTTTCTCCCAGATTTATAAGGTGCAGAGAACTCCCCGAAACTTCCCCTCTACCTCAGGGTGCAAACCAGAAAACCCCCAATTCTCCCAGCGAGTAAAAAGCTATTAAAAAAAAAATGACATCTTGCTCAAAATGTGTCACAGAGCCTCCTCGCTCCTCGACGGAGCCTCAGGGGTGAAGTGGGCGAGTCCGAGCCTAGTAGAGGCCAAGGCGAACGAGGGGCTGCGGGGCGACCAGCCGGGGTCCCGGGGCGCGGCGCGGGCCGAGGGGCGGGGGCCGACGG